TCAGATCCCGTGACTTCCGTAATGTATAGGGATAGGTACGTAGAATTAGAGCATTAACACTTTAATTCCAGCACATGATGTTTTGATGTGGAATACTGAAAATCAAAAAAAACATAAAACCATGACAATGTCATACTATTTACTTTTTCATGGTGAACAGAAAGTATGAGGCTTTGTTTGCTATGAAGTTTTTACTGCTGCAGCATTTTGCTCTTTTCTTCCTGTGTGTGCCATCACACATCACTGCAGTTCTTACACAGTATGCATAACAGGTGTCTTTACTTCTAGCTGGCTTTCTGTATTTGCTTCTGCATCACACCTATCCTACTGACATATTTGTTAATAAAGTAGGGCTGAATTGCTCCCTTCCCTTCTCTGTTGCACAGGTCTGTTGTCTTTCTTATTTGGCTCATGCAGGACCAGTTTTGCTGTACTCACTGTCATGCTTTTTGGTTTTGGTAGGTGGCACGCTTTAGTCAGGAGGTGCAGATCCCAGAAGCTCGTTGTTTCTATGGCTTCCAGATTCTCATTGAGAACGTTCACTCAGAGATGTACAGCTTGCTTATAGACACTTACATCAAAGATCCTGAAAAAAGGTAAGTTTCTGAATGGGCTGCAGACCCAAGGGAAATCTTTTAGCTAGTCCATTGGCACTGTGGATGGGTGGTAACAGCTGTTTCACATTGACTTACTGGAGAACTTCCTTAGAGCTCTCTGAGCAATCACTCCTGGCCCCCAAAATGCAGGGAAGTATTACTGACTGATGACCTTCCATAGGAGTGTTCAAAAGGCTGGTTAATATTTGTGATTGCAGGCAGTGCAGACTGCAAAACTCTGTTAAGCATTAAACAGCCTTCTTGTGGTTATTGTGCTCCAGAGGTACTTGTAACTGCCGTTTGTAACACATGTTGATCAATGCCTTGCATCCTTTCAGCTTTTTTATCATCAGTTGCTTTTCCATGCAACAAGAGCGACTTATTTTTAAAGAACTGGTTTGTTTGGAGAGCCCCCACACCTTTGTGGTCTGCAGATGTGCCTAGTTGAAAAGATAATACATTTGGAAAAAAGTACTTTCCATCAGAAATTGTGGTGATGGTCAGATAGAGCTCAGTTTCCACGGTGACATGCTATGTGTTGAAATAGTGTCCTGCAACCCCACAGTACAGGGCTAGCAGGAGGTCTTCAAGGTTTTCTGAGGTGCTTAGCATGGGAACAGATCTTGTGCTTGGGGGACTTATCTGATTCCTTTTGTGGAACTGGGAGAGGTGAGGGTTATCTCCTTGAGCAGGGTCAGGCTGCTGTTTTTCTTGGTCTGAGAGCCAGCAGAGTCTGGTGGATAGTCCCACTGGCATTGAGGGTTTGTGTTCCCTTCCCATCTCTGCAGCTCCTCTGAGACCTTGGGTACACCACTTTCTGCACATCTGCCTCCCTGTTCTGCCTCTTGTCGTCAGGCATCATCCTCCCTTCAGGGCAGGAACTCGAGTTGGGTGATTTCGGAGCTTATAGTGTAATGGGTTCCACTTTCTGGTGTAGACAATCAGGACAGATATACATAAATCCATTTTTTGCTTTGTTATTCTGGTGTTCCCTTTTTTTTTCTTTTGTAGGGATTTCTTATTTAATGCTATTGAAACAATGCCTTGTGTCAAGAAGAAAGCAGACTGGGCTCTGAAGTGGATTGAAGACAGACAATCCACTTTTGGTGTGTATCTTCTTAAAAACTTGTTTCTGTTGCACATCATGAAGTTGGTTCCTATTTTGTACACCAGTGTTAAGAACTGGACAGCTGAAGCCTTGCAAGTCCAGGCTTTCTTTGTGTGCACGTTCAGATAGACAAATTTGTGTGTGACATTATCTTTTTTTTTTTTTTTTTGCAACATTATGAATGAACTTGGGAAAAAAAGATTCAAGAGTCATCTCTCTCTCTTTTCTGGCTCACTGTTGTGACTAGGTTTCCAGCTACTGTGTCTCATCTCAGAGCTGGGTCACCAGATCAGTTTCCATCAGAATGTATGCAGGACATCCATGCTAATGTTCAGCTTATAATGTTAACATTAAAGTATATGTTGTATCTGAAATGAATGGTGGGCAGACAGGTGAATTTTCTAAAAGAAATATCCTCTTTACTTGACGAAAGTGTAGGAGATGGTGAGACTTGGCAAGACTAAGAAAATGTCATTCTGCGTATCATTGTTTTACAACATTCATTGTTCACAGCTTTTGTTTTGGGCGTAGTTCTTTTCAGAACAGTAGATTCTGTTGTCCTGAAGTGTCCTTCTGCCTCCTTAGTCTGGCTTTGCTTGCTTTATGTTGAGTCTCCTCATCTCTTTCATTCAGCTCCTGTCAGCATGGGGCCGTGCAAGGAATCAGAAGGTTTCCTGACTATAAAAGCAGTGTCCTTTTTCTCTCTCTCTCTCTCTCTCTCTCTCTCTTTCTTTCTTTCTTTCTTTCTTTCTTTCTTTCTTTCTTTCTTTTTCTTTCTTTCTTTCTCTCTCTCTCTCTCTCTCTCTCTTTTTCTTTCTTTCTTTCTTTCTTTCTTTCTATTTTTAATTCCTTCTCTCCAAACTTCATCCTATCCAAATTTTGTAAAATGTGTTTCTACTTTTCTGCTTTTTTCATCTTACTGAGAAAAGTTACCCAATCTTAAAACATTCTGGGGGCTTGGACCTTATTCATATGGATTGTGAGATATGTTATCTGAAAGTGGCATGCTTAGTTAATGCTTCCTTCCGGACTGGAAGGCTGGCCTTCAACAGGGTAGCTGTGTTTGATTTCTTACACTGAGGGATTAGTTGCTGTGTTTATACTATCAGCCTCCCAGTGTATGCAGACATCTGTGGTACTGCTGGCAGGAGATTTTGTTTCAGCATAACTCATTTATATGAATGTTAGTCAGGTGGAATGCAGTAAAAAACACTGGTGTCCAGGAGATGTTTATGCAGCACATCTCCCCTCCTGTCTAGAGCTAACCTTGCAAATTTTAGTGTTGTCAGATAAACTCTCTCCTTAGTAACTTCTGTGATACTTTAAGTACATGTTGAATTTCTTCAGATAAGCCAGCAGGTGGCATTTGCATCTCATTTGAGGATGCAGAACAGATGGAGTTTGGAGTTCATTGTTTTTATTTTTTAAAAACAAAAGTCTGTGCAGTTCTCAGTGGTGAAAAAGACAGCAGCATTTAATGCTAAAGATCTGCATATTGAAATATATTCAAGAATCTTCTGGATTTGTTTAAAATAGAGCATATGCAATCAGATAATCTTGTAGTCTGAAGAAACACTTTCCTGTAGAGAACAGAAAGAACTGGGACTGATAATGCTATGATTTTCTTGGATGAAAGGTGGAATAACATAAATATTTGTGATGTGATGAAGGTTTTTTGTTTATTTCATAGGAGCTTTTCCCCTTCTGTATATTAGCTACACAGCCATTTTTCTGCCTCTTTGGAGAAAGAGAGAAAGCTGTACTAATACTTTACTTGCTTCTGACACTTGAGGCTTTTCCCTTCTCATTTTCCTGCAGCAGTTTCAGTGGGTACCCTGTTTCTGTTCTGCTTGGGGTTGCCTGTGGCTATGTTCTGTTGCACATGTTGACTTTCTGTGCCATAGGATCTGCTGAAAGATGTGGTCAGCTACAGCCCCTGGTGTGGCAGTAGATACTTCCCATCCAGCATCAGTCTGTTTGATGCAAATGGTGCACTGTGCTGACTGGCAACACACTCTTTCATGTCTAACGGAAAATGTGTTATGTTAAACAGGTGAGAGAGTGGTTGCCTTTGCTGCAGTTGAAGGCATCTTCTTTTCGGGTTCATTTGCTGCTATATTTTGGCTGAAGAAGAGGGGCCTGATGCCTGGATTGACTTTCTCCAATGAACTTATTAGCAGAGATGAGGTAATGTATTGTGTCCTACGTATTTGAAGAAAAGTGAGTTTCAAGGAGAAAGGCAGAATTGCGTTTGTAAATAACCCGTTGTTTTGCTAGAGGAAGTCAGCGCTGTGGAGGTGGGTAGGCTTGGAGCAAGCTGAAAAGCAGAAAGGGAACAAAGCAGGTGAGTGGGTGCAGAAGTAGCGTTTGGGCAGGGACGAGTGAAAAAGCGAATCCAGCAGTGAGCAGGGGATGCATGTCTGGGTGTGGTGAAACTCAGCTGACAGTGTTGAAGGTTGAGGTCTCTTATCCCACCCCCTTATCCCCCTAGTTATGGATCCCACAGCTTGCAAACAGCCACCTGCATCCATCACCTGGCCAGCTGTGGATGAGCTGCTGCAGAAACAGCAGATATTGGTCCTGTCTGTGTCTCTGTGAGGTGTCTGAGGGGTGCATGGCAGTGCACTGAAGGTGGGCTGTGAGACTGTGTCCTCATGAGTGCCCTTTCTTTTCACTGCTGCCTACTAGTTGGCAGCAGTTCCCTATGGCTGAGGCCTGTCTGTAAGGCAGCACACGATTTATGGCACTGTCAGCACTGAAAAAGCAGCTAGATCAGTTTTATTTGCAAGATAAATCTGCTTACAATTGAATTTATCAGAGTTCTAAAGGTCTAAAAGTAAAGAGCTTTATCATAATGGAAGTAATCACTGTGGGTTAGATAAACTGATTTGAAAGGAGACATCTTGTGAAATGTCTTTAATTTGAAAGACTTTTGTTGTTGAAGAAAATGCTACAACTGGTAAATAAAGCCAAACAATTCTTCAGTCTTGATTTCCTTATGTCTTGTTTCTGTGAGTCATCATGAGCTGATCCATTCAAATAAGGAAGTATTTATTTGTTAGAAAGATGACTTGTAGATGAATGGGATGCAAATTCCCCACTACAGCAGTGTAACTGTTTCTCTGCAGTGTTGAACACAGAAAGGTGTAGGATTTTTTGAGTTCCGCTGGCATGTTTCCAGCTGCAAAGCTGTTGATTATGAAGAGTAAGGCACGGACCACACTGCACCTGCATCAAAAAACAGGAAATACTGTTAAAAAGCAGTGACAGTTAAAGAATCTACATTGGAAAACTACAACATGAATGTTTTCTGATGCATCTGAGCAGATAAATGGTTGATGCTCAGTCTGGTTTTGAGCTGCAGACTCCTTGAGCTGCTAACTCTCATTCTTAGAGATGCCAACCTGCCCGAGGCAGCAGTCAGCACAGCACACTGGTTTGACCAAGAAGCCAGTCGCCTCCTGCTGGTGGTTCTGCCCAGACAGCTGATGTGTCCATGGCAGGGGCGTGTGTGCCAGATTATATGGTTTCAGGACTCTTTCATGACCTGAAGCATGCAGATTTCATAGCCTTTTTGAAAAACTTTTTGCTTCCATATTTTGTTTTAACCCTCCTTCATGATAACAGTGGGTTGTCTTTTTTTACCCACAGCCTGCCTGATCATGCACTCTGAATGTGCCCTCATGGTACTCGTGTGCCTTAATCAATGTGTTGTCAATAGGAGAGGCATGGTATCACAGTGCTCATTTGGAATGAGTGCAGTTTGTTAGGCTCTCTGTCAAGTAGCTGGGTGAAATGTACAGGCTTATGTTTGGTGGGTTGAATTGGGATGTGGAAACAAAACATTACAAATCTATAGAGGGCCTGATAGCAAGTCCTTCACACTAACTGCATTTTGTGTGGAGAGAGAGATGACTTATTTCTGATTTGATGACTCTAATCTGAATCTACTCTTGAAAATGCTGTAAGGAAAAGCAAGGGAAGAAAGGCTACTAAAAAAATAAAGATTGATGCGTAGGTATTTCAAAGTCAAGAATGGCTAGTGAGTTTATGCTGACTGACATATTTCTGCAGGTCCATATGTAGGAGTCTTTCCGCAAAAGCATCTCTGATAGGAGGCAGGAACCCAGCATGGCTCTGCATGGAATCCTTAGCGGTAGAACAACTCTCAAAATGGGACTGGAGAAAGTGTATGCTGATTGTTATTTTGTTATAGGCGGCACCTGTTGGATTTCAGATGTTACTGAGTTTTTAACCAAAAGTGCCCCTATGTGTCTGTTACGTGTAGTAACATTAGGACTGTCAACAATCAAGTGTGTAGGAAGCTTAAACCTAAATTGAGGCTGCCTCTAATTAAGAGCAAACTGTGCAATAGGGAAAAACTCTCTTTATTGTTGTTGTTCTCTATTGTTTCAGGGTCTACACTGTGATTTTGCTTGTCTAATGTTCCATTATTTAGTGAACAGACCATCAGAAGAGAGGGTCCGGGAGATCATTGTTAATGCTGTCGAAATTGAACAGGTAAGTCTGGCCAGACAGTATCACGAGCAGCACAGCAGGAAATGTATGTGCAAAAATAAGCAAATTAACTTCTAACTTTTGGAATTTCATATTTAATGCTTGGATCCCTGATGCATTATACCATTCTTTCCCTCTTCCTTAACTGTGACAATAAAAAGCAGATACTTTTTGATACAGCTGTCAAGTATAGGTGAGGAGCTGAAGCTGGCAGGCTGCTTTCTTCCTCAAAAGCCAAAAAGAAGAAAACATTCGCTCTTGGAGAAGAGCTTTACCTCTGACCTTTAGGATCTTTGTCTTTCCCTACTCATATATACGCATAGCTGTTTGTCCTCTGTGAGAGCCCAGGGTCTGTTCTGGATGTGGGTACAGTGCTGTGTTCTAACTTTAAAAAACCTTGCTGTTCTTTCATAGGAAGTGCTACCCAACTTCAGCTACGTGTTTCTGCATTGCGGAGTGTTTTGCAGGACTGTAATTTACCCTTTCTTTTCTGTTGTCATCTAACTGCTGTGATGATGACAAATGCCCTGGCCTTGCCTTACAGCCATGAAAGGTCTTGCATCAGTGCCTAAACATGCACATGCTTGAGCTCAGTGCTCGTGTATCACTGTCCTCTGGTTTGTTGCTCTGTAATAGCTGGAAGCCAAGGAAAACTGGAGATTTCTGGATCTATTCTTTCTCCCACTCCTCTGGTCTGTAGGTTTTATTGAAGTTTGAATGCAAGCTTTCACTGAAGCTTGGGATCTTGTGGGAAAAAAAAAAAGGAGGGGTGCACTCATAAAAATTCTTGTACCTTTTCTAGAAAAATGTGCTAAAAGTTAAGGAAGATACAAGCAACTACTGAAAGCAGGAGATACTTGTTGAATTTGGTGATGCATGTTATTTATTCAGACATCTGCCTGGGGAGTCTGGAATATCACAAATTGTGTTACTGTGAAACACAGGTGTCTTCTCTCCTTTTCTCCTCTTAAATTTCGTTTCTCTAAATGTCATCTGTATTTTAACTTCCAGGAGTTTCTCACAGAGGCATTACCCGTAGGTCTGATTGGAATGAATTGCACTTTGATGAAGCAGTATATTGAATTTGTTGCAGATCGGTTACTAATGGAGCTTGGGTTCTCAAAGGTAAGTGAAGAAACTGCAGAAACGCTGGCCTGCTGGAGCAGCCCAGAAAGCTGTCAGCACAACGTGCTTTCCAGACGTGCAAGCAGGTTGCTTTTAGTGCTTGTACTTCTGTGAGTGACAGATGAAACCACAACATTAATATATGTGCTTCCCTATTTAAAAGAGCAAGAGTAATTCAGGCCATTGTTTCTCTTCAGTTGCTCTGCAGTTTTGTGTTGGGAAATTATGCTGTGCTCAAATGCTGTGCTCTTAGAAGGCTGACGAGCACCTCGCACAGATGAACTTCAAACTCCTGGGGGCACACAGTACTGAACTTCCTTACATTGCGCCCATAAATTCTACAGCATATTACACTGAGGGATAAGCTAATCTGAAATATATATATATATATATATATTTTTTTTTTTTTTGTTACACATTGTTACCTTTTCAGAATCAGCAGTGTAATAATGTTTATTTTCCCCAGGTTTTTCATGCAGAAAATCCTTTTGATTTCATGGAGAATATTTCTCTGGAAGGAAAAACAAATTTCTTTGAGAAGAGGGTTTCGGAGTATCAACGTTTTGCTGTTATGGCAGAAACAATGGACAATGTTTTCACTCTGGATGCAGATTTTTGATGCCTTGGCAAATTAGCACTGACTGTCTCCCTCTCCCCATCTCACTTTCTGCTGTGAAGTTGTCTCCATTTCCTCTGCTGGAGTTGGAGTCTACTGGGATTTTTTTCCTGGGTTTTCATGTTGTTTTTTTGAAGAGTAAATGCATTTTGCTCTGTGTTACTAAGAAAAAGAAAAAAAAGAAAAAGGAATTCTTTTTAAAAAATTTGTAAGGCTTTTTAAAAGGACAGCCTTTTTAAGATTCATGTGGTTAATCTGCTGTAATTGCTGTCTTTAAAGATGATCTGAGTACTGCTACTTTTTTAAAGACTTCAGTGCTGTTTTAAGAAAGCAGTCGGCTTACTTACCTCCTATTGTAGTACTTTAGTCTGAAAAAACAGATGAAGTATCACTCTATGTATATATGTTGCTATAAATTATTTTCATGGTTACTATTTTCATGTTTATAAATCTGATCAACAGTAGAAGCTCTTCCCTTTTGTCCTGCTGCAGATAGAGTAATAAGGGATTCTGAGAAGACATGAGTTCGATAAGGTAGGAGCTTGTTACACCCAGGGATACAGTTTGATCTCTGCATTAACCTGGGTTCTATCTGGAACAGTTTTTACTCAGTTTGCAAACACGATGGCTGTCAGTAGGAGTACAAAACAAATACATATGAGTTTTGTATTGCAGCTGTTGTGAAGCATGTCAGCAGACCTTGAGTGGTCCTTGACAAAGCAAGCCTGTTAATAGTGGAGAAAAAACACATCCTGTAGTTCTCTGCCTTGTGCTGTTTTTCACTACTTCTATGAACAAGTGCCTTATAGCGGTCTGTGGTTCTGCCATGCTGCGCAGCTGGAACAGTGAGCACTGGGTGTTGTCTGTACTTTCTCTGTTGTGTTAGGTGGATGTTCTCTCCTTCTCCATTTCATTGTGCACTGATGAGAGGGAAAAGGCATATTGCTGCAAGGGATGGTTCCTTGAGGTGCTACAAACATGCTGCTTGAGCTGTGGAGAAGCACCAGTAACGTACTGAGGTGCTTCAACTTGTGTGTTTAATGTGAACTATTTATTAAAAGCATTGTCACAGCAGAACTTCTGCAGTAAGGTATTAAATATTAAACCTTACAGAAACAAATCTTGAAGTAGCATGGATTGGCAGCATCTTACAAAGGACTGCTGTTGGATTTTTAGTGTGCTTCAGTTTGCGCGCCCAAGATTTGAAGTCCCTTTATACTGCGTGCTGAGAATAGGGCATTTGAAGAAGACCTTAAAATACTGCAGTGATAGGGTGAAAGGGATATTATTCACATACAGGTGGATTGTTTGCAAATAGAGAGGTTTTTTTTTTTTACCCTAGGATGACGTAAGTGTGAACGAGCTAGACAAAGAGTTCTGCTTTATTAAACCCAAGCATTTTTTCACAAGATTAAGCAATTTGTATAAGAGCTTTTTTAAGTTCTTTCTGTTGTTGCAAACATCTTGTGCTGCTCTAAATATACCTGGCATGAGATGAGCTGGCAGCGTTTAGTGGTGGTGGGGTGGTACAAGGTTGTTTCTCCAGCAGCCTAGATTAGTCACAGCCCCAGGTAGCTGCACTCCATGAAGTGAGTTCACTGCAGTAGCATAGTTCCTAGTGAATAGCTTTCTCTGCTGTGAACATTAGCAGCAAAACTGACTTTTTGTTTGGCCACAGTAAGATCATGGAATACTTAGTGAGCATATGAACAGGACAGCTTTTTGTTTTTTTCCTAGAGAAGAGCTTGCATCATTTGACATAAAGTACTTGTGGGGATAGAGGGAGACCTGGAAAATACAGAGACAAAAATAGATCTGCTGTCGCTAAGTAATGCTCTATAACTGCAAGAGAACTGTGGAATCCTGAGTTAAAATCCAGCACCTTTTGCAAATACTGTATTGATGTTGGAGAATATGCTGTAAATGGATCAGTTGTTGGAGGAATGGAAAGTGTTTTGATGTCATTGAAAGAAATAAAAAGCATTTGTTTTGAGTGCTGTCAATTGGGAGTATACAGATGGTTTAAAATGAAACTATTCTGTGCTCAGATTTTCTAAATGTACACGGGATACCAAAGTGATTACAGCTCATACTCTATTTGTGTGTAAAATATCTGTATAGTTTCAATAACACTTGAACATGGACAGGAACATGCCTTTGTTTGCTAGTTGTGTGCTTTATTGTGATCTAAAAGGATATAATTAGGCCGTGCCAGAGAAACTTGGTGTTCTTAGCAGATGGTTTCTGGGAGAAAGCTAAATGTGCCTGTATGCTGTCTTGTGCTTTGTAAGCTCTTGACTCGCTGTTTCTTGTTCCAGAGTATGCAGTTTAGGGAACAGAGAACATTTTTTGTCCTGGAATTTTCTGGATTAAGGAGAAACCTCCTGGGAGTCTTTCAGATTCAAAGAAGAAACACTCCAGGAAAGTAATTTCACTGTGCTGTCTGATACCTGGAGCTGGAGGGGAGCAGCCCTCTGCCTTTAAGGGTAGTTGGCTACTCTTCCTCTGTTCAGTGGCTGGGAATGTATTTATCTGGGGAAAAATACCTGAATATCAGGAGATGGAGATGTTGACTGAGATTGTGATCGCAGTGTCTTCTCTTCAAGCTGGCAGCCTGTTAGGAGTGGGGTGCCCCAGTGATTGTTGTAAGGCCCTCTACTATTCAGTGTCTTCATAAACTATCTGGATGGTGGGATTGAATGTGCCTTGATGAAGTTTGCTGGTAACACTAAATTAAGTAGGGAAGCAGACACTTCTGAAGGGAGAGCCACCCTACAGCAAGACCTTGACAGGGAGTGAGCTAACAAGAACCATATGAAGGTCAGCAAAGACAAGCATTGGATCCTGTGTCTGGGATGGCATGATCCAGGAGTGTTGGGGTCTGCTGGGCTCAAAAGCAGTGCTTTGGAAAGGATCCCAAGCTCAACAGGAGTAAATACCATGCTACTGCTACAAGGAGATGCCAGGAGGAATGCAGCATTATGCCTTGCCAGCTGTGAAGAGGCACCTAAAGGAGAGCTGTGGGCTACATCCTGTGCTGGTGGGATGGGTTAGCACTACATGGCACCATGCAGTCCTAGGGCATCACCTCCTGCCCTGCCATTCCATGAGGTCTCGCTGCTTGCCCCATACCAGTCACTTTCTGTGAGCTGAGGTGTAGCTGTTCAGAAGCCTTGAGTAAGGACAACCCCTGCTTGTATAATAACTTTGCAACTCCTTATGTTTTCTTTCAAGCAGAGGAACATGGGTCTGAGGAAAAACAGATAAACTGATCAACAGTAGCCAAAGATGCTTACTACAAGCTGACAGCATACTGCTAGCCATCATGATATTGCTGTGGAGTTCACTAGGTGGGTGATAATTCCCAGCTCTTGCTGGAAAGAAAAACAGTGATGGAGTGAGGACAATATGCATATCTCTACCTGAAGCTGCAGCCAGCCCTGGCAAGCTGACACCGTTCCCACCCATCGTGGTAGGCTAAGGGCTGACCAGGGCTGGTTTTCCTCCTGGTGGAGCCCTCGAGTCAGCAAATACTCATTCATCAGCTGCTAAGTTCTCCAGGACTGGTTCTGGGAGAGAAACATCGGCTGAAGATGCCCACGTGATAACAATACCCATAGGCTAGCATGTTAGCCAGAGGGCTGCTTGTGTGATGGGGGTGGCTCTCTGCCCTGCGTTGTGTTCTGCAGAAACAGCACATGCATAAAGTGCATGTCAGTATGTACAGGTAGGGAAACACAGTGTATGTATCTGAAATGAGAGCTGGGGAAGAAGCAGGCCTCAGGGGAGTGGCAGAGCAGTTGAAATTTTTTTTCTCTTCTTTGCAGTTGGCAGATCCAGAAGTGTTAAGAACAACTCTTAATGGGCAACTAGTTTTTATTTGTTGCTGAAAGCCTCTGGCACTGGAGTCAACTTGAACTCCAGAGCTGCATGAGGCGTTTGGCTGCCCAGAGGAATTTTTTTTTACTGCCCAAGTATTTCCCTGTGATGCTCAGTGTCGGGCACAGCCAAGCCTCAGGAAGGACTGCCTTCGAGTTGTGTTATGAGGAAGAAGGGATCCTCTGTCAGGCAGTGACCGGGGTGCAGGAGCTGCCAGGCTGCAGCCCAGTGTCTGCCCAGCAAGCCTTTCTACCTGGAGTCTGCCACCACGGCACAGTCAGCAGAACTTCCCACTCTACCAAAGCTAGGATGGTGGCATGGTTTGCCCTCCTAAAGTCTCAGCAGTATTTCAGAGCACACTAGAGCACAGGTGTGAATTTTTTTTTGAAGCAGAAGCCCATGAGGAGGCCTGCAGTCTGTGAGTGGGCCTGGGCCCTGCTGAGCCGTGCTGGGCCGTGTGGGCCCTGCCCCCACAGGGCAGGCAGCTACCAAAGGGGCTGCACAGCTGGGAGGGGGTTCCTTTAGTTCCCAGTGGCCACCCTGAAGACCTCATCTGAAGCTGATTAATTGTCAGCAGCAGCTGTCCTGATTTTATGGCGATTGGGATGAAAGGGAGAAACACGAGGCCATAAAAGAGGGCCTTTGGCTGGGGATGACTGGGGCCATGTCCATCCTGTGGGGCTGCAGCTGCTGACACACAGCCCTGCAAAGCAGGGAACCCCACGTATGTTGCTCTTGGCTCCTGGGACTGCTTCCGTGGCAGGGAATTTACAGGCTCATAAATATATCTGAGGGATTTTTAGATTAGCCAGTAAACTTTCCAAGGGTCTCGCAGACGTGGTTCTGTTGGGCAAAGGGCTGCATCCTGAGGGTGCACAAGCACACAGTGGGGTGGGGCCGTGCCCTGTGGTCTGGGCACTGCGGAGCGAGCGCAGGCCTATGGGCAGAGCAGGGGGCCGTGGTATCAGCTCAGGGGGTGGCACGAAGGCAGCTGCTGTCTGTGGGTGAGGTGGGGATGGCAAGCACTGCGGTTTGCAGCAGCTCTGTGCTAGGGCTCATTCTGTGCTTTTCACTGACTCTGCTTACATCTCCTGCAAGAAAAAAAAGAGAGAATCATGCAGAAGGCAAATTTACTTTACCAATTAAAAATAAACCCCAGCCCCCCGCTCAGCTGTTCCTTGGCATCTGCTCCCACGCAGCAGCAGCGTCTCAGTGGCCCTGCCGCTGATGGGTAGTTATTTTTTGGTTGTTTTTTCCTGGGGACACAGTCACCAGCTGCTTGGGGTGAGGAGGGCTCCTGATCAGGGTGGGAGCAGCCAGAGATGGGGCTGCGGGGGGGGGGAGGGTGGAGCTATGGAGAGCACTGGGGGCAGGGATGGGGCTGGCCAGTGGACAAAGTCACACTGCATCTGTATTCCTACCCATTTAATAACGTGAATCTTGCACTAGGAGCCTAATTAGTGTGAGTTCTGGGCCAGGAGCTGCAGTGGAAGTTGGCTCTGCAAGCATCAGGAGAGGTGAATGAGAGGAATCCTGATGTGACCTGTTGTAATTGGCACCTTGCTCTCATCCTCACAGTTCTTCCAAGTTCAGGAGTGTCAGTGAGATGCAGTAGGATCTTGCTGTAAATCACATCCATTGATGAATACAATTTATGGAACTCGCAACACAGAGATCAGGGTGAAGTTATAGTTCATTAACTCTTGTTCTTTTGAGGTGTGCAGTGTCCTCCTCTCACATTTGTGGACAACATCCAGCCCACAGCCCCAGCACTGCATGATGTGCAGGCTCTGACTCCCAGCTGAGGGATCCTGCAAGAGCCTGATGGAAGCTGGGGCACCAGTGGGTATGTGGAACATTTGATATGTATCTCCTGGGTTTGCTGAAGGACTGGTGCTGTCCACCACTGAGGAGAAGCTGTTGCATTTTTGGGTCTTTCTTGCAGAATCCTTGATGTTCAGTGGCAGAACTTTGCCATTCCTGAAAGTGGCATGAGGGAGCAGTTCAATCAATCATTTATTGTGTTAGAAGATCCAGAAGGAATCACAAAATGTTTGCCAAATGCTACATCAACTGGGAGCTGTAGGTATCAAGTACACCAGCCATGGTTGCTCTTTAGTCATTACATTGCCATTATCTGTTTAACACATTCTTTTTATTCTTCCATGGGCATGAGAAAACATGGCTCATGCCTGTATGGCCAAACTCTTCCCTTCTCCAGTTCCACAACCACAGTGGCTGTGCCCATTTTCCTCACCAGAAGTAGGTCTGCTCGGTGCTGTTGCTGGGTAGGGACTGGATCTGTGCTGGTGGTTAAGCACTGCAGGTCAGTGCTTGGAACTGTTCAACTCCCTATGTACATAGAGGTATACAGCCAGTATGTCTGGCTCTGCATCAAGCCAGTGATGAGAATGGATTCCTGCAGAACAACCTGGGTTTAATCATGACGTGATGGACTGGCCTTGAAATGTTTTGTATGCATTTTTGAACCTAAATCATACTAGAAATCAGAGCAGATGGTCAGCATCTGGTTTAAAAATGTATCAGTCCATGATCAAGAACTTCCATAAACAGAAATGTCTTACGATGAGGATGATTTCAAGGCTGACTCAACTTGACTTTCAGTGACCCCCTGATGGGTTCCCCCAGATCTTAGTGGGCTTGAGTGCAGTCACAGCATTGTACGTGGAGGAATTCACTTTCAGCTCTATGTGTCTCCTGGCTTTGCTTGGAAGAAGATGGATTTTACCCCTCTGCTATGCACAGCAAGCAGTGTTCTTAAAGAAGAAAGAAATTAAAAAAAAAAAGAAAAAGAAAAAAAGCCCCAAATCTCTTCTTACAGTACAGCTCTACCCTGGGTCATTCAAGGCAGTGCCTTTTTCTCCAGTTTCCTGTTGCATATCTCAACTCATTAGCTCTGTCACATCAGCCACGTCTTGTCTGTTAGATGTGCTGCATGGCAAAGACATGTCTCTGCACAGAGAAAGTGCTCAGGGAACTTATTTTGGATTGCATAGACTTCCACACCAGGAATCTACTATCTGTCTGATCCTTTCAAGTGTTTATTATGGTGGGTTGTCAGCTATTCCTGAGCTTCATGATTCCCTTACCTTTTAGCCCAGTG